CTAATTCTGTCTCAAATCTCCTTCATTAACTCAACAGCATGGAGTGGAAAAATCAGCCATTCAGCTTTCAAAGTTGCAGACTAGTTTAATGCTTCCTTTTCCTTTACAACAGCTGGTTCTCGCACACTTGAGAAAGTTCAACCTCATATTAGTTACATCATGCTTTAATGTGTTTAATGGCTACGACTCTAACGTGAAAGAAGAGTTCAGAGTTAGAAGTCACATAACAATTGCATGGCAGCCTGTAAACTATTTACAAATTCATTTCAATAAACAAGCCCCAGATAACTGAAAGAACTGCAGATGTTATAAATCAGAAATTGCTGGAAAAGCTCAGCAGGTGTGAAGAGAAGTCAAGGACATTCAGCCTCTGATTTTCAAGTAAGTGTCCTCCAAGGCAGACTTTGAGATAAACAACAACGCAGAATCGTTTAGCAGCAACTGATAGCCAAGTTCCGTACCCATGAAGACAGCCTCAACCGTGATCTTGGGTTCGTGTGGTAGTACATGTGACCCCACCACACTGTTCTGCATCTGTAAAACCTTCCTTACTGTCCAGTTTTGACACCATCACCTTGATAAATTGTTATGATCTTTCTACCTTAATTAATTTGTACAGCTTTAGATTGCTTATTACTTTGGTTAGACCCTCAGCATGTGACTCTCATACCTATCATGCTAATCCAGTCATTTGGTTCATGTCCAGCACCACCTTATTTTTAAATTTTTGTAATTATTTTTCTGCCTCATTTAATCAGATTATAGGTCATCCTTTCATTTGTTATTCAGTTGTTGACACTTTACTCACATTGTCTAACATCCCTGGTCACCCGCAACGACTTATTATTGGACACTCCACTCACACAGTTGTATGATCTTTTGATCTCTCTGCCCCTGAGCTCTCTGCCTATAAATTCTGTGTCTGTGTGCTCTTCTCTCTCACTTCACCTGACAAAGGGGCTGCACTCCGAAAACTTGTGCTTTCAAATAAACCTGTTGGATTATAACCTGGTGTCACATGAATTCTGATTTTGTCCACCCCAGTCCAACACTGGCACCTCCAGGTCAAGAGAAATCAGAGTTAACATTTCAGGTCCAGTGACCCTTCCTGTTCTGTGCTTTTCCAGCAACTTCTGTTCTTGTTGCCCCAGATAAGTGCGTTTTATTTACTTAATTGATTCAACTTCAAGTATGTAATATAATTAGCATTTTAAATTTTTTTAACTAATTATTTGATCCAATTTATGGCAATTTAAAGTAAATATTGACATATATCAAATCCATATCTGCAATACCACTCTGTGTTCTTATCCCCATTACCCTTCACAGACCAGTTTTTTTTCCAACTCTGCTCTTGACATCACCCATTTCAGTGCTGCACTCTGAAATAAACTCTTCCCCAGTTCAGCATTTGTACCTTTGGTATTTTCTGGTCTCTTTCCGAATTAACTTAAACAGAGTAATATATTGTCATCATGATTCGCTAGATTATTTCTTACAATAGTGTACTACACTTCATTTTCCAGAAGCAGACTCAGAATATTTTCATTCCTGAACTGGAGATACATTGATTAAAAACATTTTTCTCTGCCAATATCAGAAAGTCTTCTTCCCTCTCCTTAGCATAATGTTTTCCAGTTTATCAGGAGATAACAACTGTATAATTAATGGCAATATAACAAAACATGTTCTTTTCCCAAGGGTAGGGGAGTTCAAAACTAGAGGGCATAGCTTTAAGGTGAGAGGGAAAGATTTATAAGGAACTTAAAGGGCAATTTCTTCACGCAGAGGGTGGTATGTGTGTGGGATTAGATACCAGAGGAAGTGGTACAGGCTGGTACAACTACAACATTTAAAAGGCATCTGGATGGTACGTGAGTAGGAAAGGTGGGCCAAATGCTGGCAAATGGGATGGGATTAATTTACAGCATGGATGAGTTAGATCGAAGGGTCCGTTTCCATGCTGTACATCTCTATGACTCTATAACACTTTTTTTTTCCTTTAGGGATCCTTCAGGATAATACAAGTCCTCAATAAAGTGTCAGGTATGGTTCATTTGTAGCACCCTAATCTCTCAGGTTGTATATTTGTGTCTCACTCCAGAGACCTAATCATATAATCCAGGCTGCCATCCAATTGCTGTATTGAGGGAGTGCCGCATTGTCAGGAGTGATATCTTCTGGATGAGGCAGTACACCTAACTTCTAGCTATTCTCTAAAGTTGTAAGAAGTCCCAGGACACTATATTGAAGAAAAAACAGAAGAGTTCACTCTAGTGTCTATTAATTCCTCACCAAACAACACGATCAATATACTTTATCTGGTCATTATTACATTGCTGTTGTTGTGTCTGGGTGCGAGGATATTGATTGTTGTACTTTCTACATTATAATGGTAGTTGCACTTCAAAAGTGCTTAACTTGCTTTAGTGAGACAGGAATCTATTGCATTTCCCCAATATGGTTATGGGTAAATTGGATAGCGCAGGCTCTTAGATGATTGGGCATTTTTCCAATTAAAACTGTTAGTAGAACAATTTTTAGTTGCTTGATGAATGGTTCACATAAGGTAAAAGGAAGCCCTTGTGTGTTATCAGTCCAAGGTCTGTTCACTTTAACTTAATTACTGCATTTTTCAATTCGGCTATGTGACCGCAAGGATTAATTATTCCGGTGGCTGAGGTGCCAGACCAACTGCTCAGTATTCCAGATAAGACAAATACCTCCATGCTGAAGAATAGCTCTGTATAGGATCAGAGGGACTTGTTGCGTGAGTGCATGGGTAATTGTACAGAAAAATCCAAATATAAAAACTAAACCCTCATTGAATCAAATCTCTTAGGACAATCTGTGGTGTCTGTGCAGGTATAAGAAGAGGATTGATCATCTTTCTCTCTTAGGCAAAAAATAACATTTATGCTTTAGTGTATTGTTTGTAATGTTACAAAGAAGAATGTTTTATTATGCACTGGTGGTGGTATGTAAGTTTAAGTAAGATAATAAAACTATTACTATTTAGCGCAGTGACCAAAATCTTTATTTAATTGACACTGAGAGATTAAATAAAGTTAAGCCACATTTAGTGGAATGCTTTTGAACTTCCTGAGGACACAAAAGGTTCTATATAAATGCAAATCTTTCTTTAATAAGACAAATAATATAACAATAAATATGTGTATCAGTTACTGAGTAATATTTAAAAAGATGTATTTATTTTTGTCTTCCTGAGTTTTAACAATATTTGTCTGTAACTGTACATTCTATCTCCCAAATTGCTTAACCTTTTTGCACTCTGTTCACCCTGACACCAATTTGTGGCAATTTATTCACTTTTCTTCCTTCTACTTTTGATGCTTTAATGCCTTGCAGAGACTAGAATGTCTCCTATTCCTGTTATACCCCGGTGGAGCTTTTATCTTTGCTTTTTCAACTAAGAAAGATGCAAACTTAAGTGAAACCATCTTTCGGATGTTACATTAAACTGAAGCTACCGCTGCCTTTGAGATTAGAATATTCTTAAAACAAATCTTCATGAGCAGTTCAGGTGGAAGATATTCATATACTATGAATGGCAATGGCAGATGAAGGCTGCAGCAGTAGGGGCAGACCCCATTGTTGAGGTTTCATTGCCACCAGAACTGGATCTACCTTCTGTCATGGACCATGTGTCAGGTGATTTGCAACAGCTTTCCTATATTAAAAGATGCCCCACACAAGGTGTCTACCTAAAGGAATTCAACACACCTAAACACACAATTTCCTGGGTAGACAGTCTACTCTATAATGAGTGACTGCCAACGAGGAGGAAATTATTATGAAAGGTCCCACAGTGCTATTTCACAGAGCAGGGAGTTCTCCTAATGTGCTGGGTAGCTAACAACCAACATCTAAAACTGCATTGGCAAGTTCAAGAGTAATAGAGTCACAGCACAACATGATCTCTTGCCAGCCTGCATGTGACAGCAAAGGCTTTCTTTCCCTGACAACAATATCCCTTTCCATATCAATAATAAAACCAACAAAACTGACTCCAGTAGTTGGTCAAACTATATTAGGAAATGAGGCTAAATATTTTGCCAAGTGTGGGTGTAATATAACAATAGCCATTCCCGTTGTCAAAAACGACCGAAGGCACATTATAATTTATTACATCGGTTTCGGATAACAATTTATAACCTTGACCAGAGCCAATCAAAAACTAGCAACTAAATGAAAGTGGAAACATATCTTTATCCTAACTCCAAAGCAGTCTAGCCGTGCCGCTTATCTCAGCCATGCCACTTATGGCGAGAAAATTGTGACACCATCCTTGTTTACTTTGGCATGACGAATCAGCAAACAGCTCTTTGCGAAATATACCAGTAAAAATCCAGTCACTGGCACCAAAGAATTTGTAAATATAACACTACATTTTAAGGAATTTTAAAGTGAGTTTTACTGTAAAAATCTGCATAGCTTACATATCTCAAGTTTTGCTAACTAACGTCATTCCTCAGTAATGCTGGACAGTTCCAACTTAACAAACAGACAAAATAAGTTGTATCTCTTCCAACCCTTTCCTGTAAAGTTAACAACATCCTTAACATCAGGAGATTAGAACTGAATGAAATACTGTTTGATGTAATAAATTATCCCATAAAATTACACACCCATTAATTATAGGTTAAATGAATTACACTGCGAGCTGCCAACCCTGATTCTCTCGGCCTCAAACTGCAGTTGTGTGGGTATCAAATATATCAGTTGCACACTGATTATGTTAGTAAAGAGGGACATTCAAAATTTTTGCTCCAAGGAAATAAATGACAACACGGAAGCTCATGGAACTTACTGAGGATATACTTAATTGATGTTTACCCAAGTACAGCAATCAAGTTTTAAGGACTATAATCTGACCATTTAATAATCTGCTCTATCATAATAGGACATCTGAAAGATTCTTGAATAATTATTCAAATAAATCCAAAACTTCATAGGGAACAAAGTGCCATTTATTTTCTACTTCTGTTATATTATCTAAGTTGTACAAATTGCCATTAAAAAACATATTTATAAAATGTATTGGCATATATATATAAATATAAATATTGAGAGCAATAATTTAAATAAATAGATAACTCAGAACAGACCGTACAATTTCACAGACAAGGTTAATTTCATATATATGGCGAGGGAGTGATTCAAGTCTTTTATATAAGTGAAATAGAAAGCATTTACATTGCCTTCTGCTCTTTATATATATAAATTTTATGTGTGTGATTTCCTTTCCAAGGAAATAAGCACTGGGAAGTATCATTCATGGAGTTTACAACACAGAAAGGGGCTATTCATTAAGTCTGGACTTCGAAGAGAAAGCTCTGGCTTCATCAGTCTCTTCAAACTCTTTAAGGTAATAACAATTCAAGTGGACTGTAGTAGACCCTAAATATGGTCAACGTAAACTCCAGAATGGAGTTTGCCAAAACCACTGCACAAAAGATGACTAGTTAAATTCAAATTTTAAGGTAAATTTTGGAAGTGGAAAAGGAACTGGTTAAGAGTAACAAGGCAACCAGTAATGGTTAAAGGAGTAATGTCAGGGTGTATGAAGTACTAAACCCCAAGCTTCACAGTTGGGAGCGTTATTATTTCGAATTTATATTAATGGCCTGGATTCAGGCATGACAGCGAAATGTGAGGATAATACCAAATTGTAGGGTTGGAATGAGTTGAAATAAGTATACAAGTGAGCAATGTAAAGCCAAATGAGCTTTAAAGAGGAGAAATGGAAAGTAGTGCATTTAGGGTATGGCAGACAAAAATAGATGAAATGCATAATCCATGAATGGTGTTGAAATAAAGCCAAAAATGGCTAGGGGTCTTCGTGGACAGCACTAGATGTTCAGTATGCCCACCCAATACAGAAACCATTAGAAAAAAATGGCAGAATGCAAAAACAGTAGGATGCAAGTCAGAGAATGTATTGGTTAGATTGTCCCATGCTTTGGTATGACTGTATCTTCTGTGTTGCATTCTGCACTGAGTTTTGAAAAATGCAAAAGGTGCAGCAATAGAAAAGGTGGTCATTGAAATACTAGGTTAGAGATATGAGATAAGACTGCAGAAAGCATCTATCACAAAAAGGAGTCGTCGATAGTAAAGGAATTGAAGATATATCCCAAATGTCATTTAAAATGAAGTAGCCAGGGTTAAGTACAGGGGACGCTAGTTCAACCAGCAAAAGGCAAATTCAGAACTGATATCAGGGTCATTTTCTTCACGTTAGAAGTGAAGAGTATGGAATAGACACCAAGGAAGAATAATGGAAGTGAAATGCCTTTGGAAAATCGGCTAACCACTGCAATACAAAATGTCAGAGTCATTTCGGGTGAATGAGCTGAGTGACCCTTACATCATCATTGTGTGACTAGTCCCGTCAGTGGATCATCAACTGGTTTTATCTGCTCTAATTCCCTTTGTTGGGATTACACAGTTATGATACAGAGGTCAAATCGGGTCCTGGTGAGAGTACTTTTGGGCCAATGTTGTTAATCATAGCCATTGGATTCTCAAAGTCGGTATAACATGGGCCTGCAGCATTACCCTCGGCCAATTCTGGAGAGTTTGGGACTCGCTAGTTGTCCTGTTCTCATCTCGAAGGGGTCTGTGTCATTGGTCTCTCGCTCGGGGTTCCTCCGGCTGTGCATCGTGGTTGGCAACTCATTTTCTCGCGGCAAAAACATTGAGAGCGGAGGCAGTTCTCTGTTAGGGATGAACGGGCGCTTGTCTAGGCTCAGACTCAACACCATCTTGTGTCTTGGGGAGTGGTACACATTGTAAAATGTTTGTAACTGTTCCTCTTTGAAATTGCAATCATCCTCACGGTAGGTCATCTATTGCAAAAGGGGAAAGAGTTTAGAAATCAAAAAACTTAAGAACAAGTTTAATCCGAGAGAGATCATTGTCCTCTATTCACATCATCTTAAATTCAGGACCGACAGTGTATGGGTGTTTGGGAATGAAGTCATAATGTCACACAGCATAGAAACAGGCCCATCGGCCCACCATGGCTATGCTGACCAACAAACACCACTACACTAATCCTTTTTAACCTGCACTTGGCCCATTGCTTTCCATGCCCTGGCATTTTAAGTGCTCATCCAGATGTTTTTTAAATGTTGGGAGAGTATCTGCCTCCTCCACCTTCTCAGGCAGCACCTTCCATATTTCTACCACTGTGTGGACTTTTTCTTTCCTCAGATCTTCTCTAAACTGCTTGCTCCTCAATTTAAACTTATGGTCTTAGACACGTCTGCCGCGAGGAAGAGATTTGTTTTTGAGAAATTTGTTCAGCAGAGCAGCCTTGCTACTTTTGAGTAACCAGGTATGGGATACTCACTGATCCGAAAATGCTGCCTTCGGTATCCATGCAGAGGTACCGTCCCGTCCTCACTCCTCGGATCACCACGTGTCCTGGTTCCACTGCTTTGATCTCCAACAGAGCTGTAATCCACACACACAAAAAAGTTACACAGTGTCACCAACCCGCCACACTATCCCCAGGCCGCTGTTTGGTTTCGGGAAAAAAAATCAAGGGAGGTAATTTTTTTTAAAACGGGGCATTCGCTGAGCTCTGGGAAAGGGGTGTCTGATTGGCGAGCTCTTTTTCAAAGAGCTGTCATGGTCACGATGGGCCGAACTGCCTCTTTCTGCGCGGCATCGTGAAAGCACAGAGGGAGGGAGCTCAGTAACGAGGTGGCCGCGACCCAACTTTTATCCTGTAACATCCTGCAAAGTGAGTGCACGACACGCTATCATCCCATCAGTGATTCATCACTCTTCAAGGACAGCAGTTCTAAAAGGAAACGTTCAAACGATCCGCTCAATTCGTTGCAGTTATTAGAATTGTTCGATACAGTAACAGAAATGAAACAACGCAGAGTCACCTTTACCAAGCTTTGGACAAAATGACATAGTTGAAAGCTAGGAGCTGAAATTGAACCAGCTTTTGGGACTGTCATGGGTTTTGTTTGTTAGAGAAAGGGAGACCAGAAACCTCATGACTACAGATTATAGCCACGTGCTATTATAAAAATATAACCACCAAATAATTCCAAACATAATACTCTGATATTGCATCATGACATGATGTAAGTAGAATGAAATGTAGAAAAAAAGAATTTTCTTTGCCAGGGCATGCCGCTTGCAGACTTGAGAGAAATGAGACTTACTGTAAAAGTTCTGGGAGTTGGAGCTGTCAATATGTCCATCAGGGTTGATCTGTAAGTGCCTGCTGTTGCCTTCCATGTACAGGTGCTTAAATCGGATCTGCTGACCCCAGTCCCGTTCCAGCTGAGCGCCTGAATCCGTCCTCACCAGAGGAGTTGATCTGACCAGTGAAGCCCCGAGGGAGACGGCGAAGTATACGGCGACGCAGCTGAGAATGTTGGTGCCCATCCCTAACCCGGGGGCTGGAGCTGGGAGCTTCTCCTGGAAATCAGCGGGATCGCTCTCCCGCCTCTGAACCCATTGCGCTGCTTTTAAACTCAATGTAGCAAATGACATCAGAATCATCCACCTTAAAGCGCCGGCAGGAAGCCAGTGATGTGACAGGTCCTGGGTTTCTGCACTGGATCCCGAGGAAAACTAGTATTGGGAGGGGGAGGGGGAGGAGGATATGGCCACAGTTGGAATCAATGATGGGGATACGTGCGGTGCCTTTCACACACACACACACACACACTACAAACAGGATAGACTTCAGCCAGAGTACGAAATGCGAACTTTACCCCAACTATTTCACAGCAGGAGACCGATTCCCTCGTTAACTCGCTTCACTAGAAAGTGATTTCTCTTCCTGGAACATAGCTCAACCTGGGGAGATGTCCTTTATTCACCAGATTCCACCCGCCCTTCCCTCCCCATTTCTTTTCTGTTGTTTGTTTTTATTAATATGATTGCCTTTGGGTGTCTGTGTCTCCCCATCACACCTTTGCGATACTTTCCCATCTGCTTTATTCATCTCAGTCAAAACTAAACATTGCTCCTTACAAATATGAGGGGTTCTCTCTCTCCACCCACACCTCAAACAGATCTTTTCCCATTTCTCCAGTTACATTCACACTCGCTGTTTCCACGTGGCTTGCAATTATTTTCACAACTCCGAGACAGGAAGATTTGGGGTTCTTCATGAAATAACATGCACTGTTTTTAAAAACTGTTGCATTTGATAAACGGACAGCAGTTGTATATGAAGATTTTTTAAAAAACAAAATTGCCAAAAGCCGAGTGTAATTTCATTTTTCAAAGTTCAGTTGATGGACCTGAACTGAGGTGAGTTCTTGTTATCAAGCGCGAAAATAGCTGCTGTCTGTTTATTTGATGTTCAGTGTAGGGTCCGATTAGAGTTGTTTTATTAAGGTTTCCGGAGCAAAAATCGCCTCCTTTCAATTTCCTGTTAAATTTACAATCCACAATAATCGAAACTAAAGGAGTCATTGCCACACCAAGGGCGCATTTCATATTTCCCTGTAGCGCCCAACACGTGTTCCTAACTCGCGTCTCCAGGCTGACATTCTACATGTGAATCTTGGGGAAACAGCCAATTAATGTCCTGTCATTTCCAGAAACCTGATAAGAAGGGCAGGGATTCCGGGAAAGTAATTGGATCAACAGTGTAATGAGGTCTTTACCGTGAAATTTACTTTGACTCGAATGCATTCCCTCGCACGTAACTCAGATAGAATTCCCATTGTTTTCATTCACACCGTTTATAATTGCAGCATTTAATCAGTTTCTAAGGGTAGATTCTGATGATTACATGCGTTTTGCTGCGCATATTTGAGATGGTTGTCACATTAACATTAATGGAGCTAACCAGATCATAGTGCTTCATGACCGGGTCAAAATGCAGTCCACCTTTTCTGCCACAGTCCCAAACCGATTCAACCAGTGTCTTTCATTACAGGCTTATTGGGTGCTATCAATCAAGATTTGCAATTATTACTGTTGGTCTTACCCCAGCTACGGCAGGACATCACTTTTAGCTGGATTATCGCCAATTATTTGAGCATTTTGAAAATTGAGTAAACCTCGCAGTTGCTGTGAGAGGTAATCTGCTCCTGAATCAAGCGGTTTCTATACAATTGTAGTGACACATATCTTTGAAAGCTCCACAAGGGGGCAGGCTTCGACCTTTGTGATGCACAGCTCCACTGACCTTCCGAAAAGCCCAAATCCGCTACATCCTTCTGTGCAATACCTACATGTCTATTCCACAACTCACCCCAACCTCTACACTAAAACAGACAAACCGTGATATTGGTACGAAGATTTTAAAATAAATGTTCTTGCACAGAAATCCATTTTGGTACGTTCGAGTGGCGAGTTGTAATTGCAAATAGCCCCATGGGAATATGAAGTTGTGGGAATAACAGAGAACTAGCTTAGACAAGGATAGGTCCTGGTAAGAAATATTCTTAATACAAGGTGTTCGGGAAAGATAAGGAACGAAAGAAGGAGTGGTGGAAATATTGGTTAAGGAGAATATTACAATGTTGGAGAGAAACGATTTCCTAGAGGAACCAAACACATTTAGTTAAAGCTAAAAACGACAGAGGTACCCTAACATTATTCCGTGTCCTCTACAGGTCACTAATTAGTAGGAAAGATATAAAGAGCAAAACAAGCCGGGAAATTACAAAGGGGTGCAGGAACTATAGTGTACTATAATAAAAGGGGAACATTCAATAATCTTGACATGGATTGGGACTCTAGTTTGAAGGGGAAAAAGTATTTGAAAAGTGTTCAGGAGAATTTTCTTGATTGAACACGTTCAAGCTGAACAAAGAAGGGGATTTCTGCGGAATAATATCAACTCGTGGATCAAGTTTCAGCAAAAAAAACTATAATATCATAGGGCTTAAATTCATAGATACCTACAGTGTGGAAACAAGCCCTTTAGCCCAACAAGCCCACACTGACCCTCAGAGCATCCCACCCAGAACCATCCCCCTAATCTGAACACTATAGGCAATTTAGCATGGCCAATCCACCTAACCTGCACATCTTTGGACTGTGGGAGGAAACTGGAGCACCCAGAGGAAACTCATACAGACACAGGGAGAATATGCAAACTCCACACAGACAGTCACCCAAGGGTGGAATTGAACCCAGGTCCCTAGCACTGTGAGGCAGCAGTGCTAACCACTGAGCCACCCTTAGCTACACAAAATTAGCTACACAAAAGGGCAAAGTCCAATTTGGAGTAAAAATCCTTAATGTTGGAGGTGATGGCCTAGTAGTATTATTGCTAGATTGCTATTCCAGAGACCCAAGGAATGTTTAGTGGCCTGGGTTCAAATCCCACCACGGAGGATGGTGGAAATAACAATAAAAATCTGGAATTAAGAGTCTAATAATAACCATGGATCCATTGTTGATTGTTGGAAAAACTCATCTGGTTCACTACTGTCCTTTCAGGAAGAAAACTGCTCTCCTTACCCAGTCTAGCCTACATGTGGTTGACTCTTAACTGCCCTCTGGGCAATTAGGGATGGGCATAAATGTTAGCCTAGCCAGAGATGCCCATATCTTGTGAATGAACAAAAAAAAATTTCAGACGAATAAGCTTAAATAGATAAAGAACAGATCTGTCCCAGACAAATTGGAAACAAAAATTGGCGGACCAAACAAATGGAATGATAGGCAGTCTTAGAGGGATGTTTGGGTATAAGTTGAGGTATAACCCCAAGAGAGGATAATAAAAGCCAAAGCTTGTTGAATGGTGAAAAGGATAGAGGGTAAGGTGGAGCGGTAAAAGTGTTCAAACAACAGCTGCTTGATTGATACTACAGATACGTAGAATGTACAGAGGCTAATGATAGAGTTCGGAGACTGGCAGCTGACATAACAAAAGGGTAGTAAGAATAGGAGTGAGCCAATTAGGGCCCACAATGGGGATCTAAACATGAAGACAGCCTGGCTTTGGTACTAAATACTCTGCAATTGTTTTTATCAAGAAAGAAGATGCTACCAAAATCAGAATGAAAGAGAGGAAAAAGTTGAGAGATTGAATTGGTTGAATTGATAAAGGGAAGGTATCAGCAAAATTGTATTTAAAAGTTTAAAAGTCATCAGGTCAAAGTGGGACACAACCAAGAATGCTGAAGGAAGACAGTGGAAATTGCAGAGGTACAGGCCATAATTCTCCATTGTTTTTTAGCCGTGGGAGTGTTGCCAGAGGATGGAAGAATCACAGAATAACAGAAGTGTTACAGTGCAGAAGGAAGTGATTCAGCCCATCTTGTCTGAACTGGCTCTCCAAATGAGCATCATGACTTAGAATCATTCTTCTGTCTTTTCCTGAAAATAAACATTCAATGCCCTCTTGAATGCCTCAATTGAACCTGGCTCCATCACACTTCCAGGCAGTGCTTTCTAGAGCAGAATCACTCATTGTGTGAAAATATTTTCCCTGACATCACATTTGGTTCTTTTGTAAATCATTTTAAATTTGCGCCCTCTCATTCTTGATCCTTTTATCAATAGGAACAGGTTCTTCCTATCTACACATCAGCACCCTCATGATTTTGAAAACTTGCATCAGATTTCCTCTTAGTTTCCTGTCTCCAAGGAGAACAGTCTGAGCCTCTCCAATCTAGCCTAACTGAAGTGTCTTATCCCTGGAACCATTGTTGTAAATCTGTTCCACACTATTTCCAATGCATTCACATCTTTTGGTGGTGTAGTTCCAGAACTGCACACGATATTCCAGCTGAGATCTTGCAAAAGTCTGATACAAGTGCTCGTTGCTCTTGCGCTCGAGGCCCCTTTTAATAAAAACCAGGTTACTGTACACTTTGTTAGATGCTTTCCACTTGTCGTACAAAATTCAATGAACTGTGCACATATATAACCAGGTCCTTCTATTTTTATTTCTTATTTTATATTTTCTGTCCATTTTTTCCCTGCCAAAATACATCACCTCCCACTTCTCCACATTGAACCCCATCTGCTACCTATCCACCCATTCCAGCAATTTGTCTTTCCTCTCTTAAAGTTCTCAGATTACAGTGTTTCCAAGTTTCATATCATCCACAAACTCTGTAATTGTCCCCCATACACCACGATCTGCATTGTTAATACATATCAGGAAAAACAAGGATCCCAGTACCAAACTCTGGGGAACTCCATTACAAATATTCCTGCATCCTGAATTACTCTGTTTTCTATTATACAGCCAATATTGTATCCATATTGACACTGTCCCTTTTATCCCATGAATTATAACTGTTCCCACAAGTTTGTTGTGTATCATTGTATCAAATGCCTTTTGGAAATGCATGTGTGCCACATCAACAGTATTGCCCTCACTGTTACCTTTTCTGTTACGACTTCAAAAGATTCCAACAAGTTTGTCAAATACGATTTCCACTTTAGAAATCCACGCTGGCTCTTTTTAATCAAACCACCTCTTCTCTGTGATTCGAAACCGTAAAGTTAATGTCACCATAGTCCCACTCTCCCATGAGGGAGACAGCTGGTGGTGAGTTTAACCTGAGGGTCACCACACCTCAGGTGAGGGGCAAGGTTGTGCAGGAAGAACCTTCAGGTTGACCTCAGACAA